CACACGGGTAAGATTCCCCCGACATGCAGCAAAATAAGATATAAAAAATAAATTTTCACAAACAAGTTAGTTATAAGCAATCTTATATGGCAAGTCCGATTGATTAAGATTAAGTCACCCAAGATTTGGCACGGGCATGAATAGCCCGTAAGTGGTAAAAATTTTTGTTCATTAAATCTTTTCAGTGTAGGCAAGTCCTTACATATGAATGAGAAATATTTACATACCTGATACAAATGTGAACTTCTGTAAATTTTATTTTAACGTCCGTAAGTAATTTTACACACCTGTAGGACAGTGTTGCAATGTTCAGCAGGATTTCAAACGCTAGATTATCTATGTTTGGTAGTTTTAGAAACTGTATTATTTTCTTACATCATTCAAGTAAATTATCGCAACAAAATGTCCAAAACGAATGTATTCCCCAAAGAAAATGGACCACACGGAACAGGGACCCAACAAAGAAAATGGACCCAGCAAAGAAAATTAAACTAACAAAGAGAATGGACCCAACAAAACAAACGGATCCAACAAAAAAAAAAAACGGATCCAACAACGAAAATGGACCCAACAAAGAAAACGGATCACACCTCACGAATGAACGAAATCAAAACACATTTTAATCCAACACACGACACAAAACACACAAAGAACAAAGCCATTAAAACAAACAAACTAACGCTTACACCCCCCCCCCTTGAAAGCACACGACAATAAATGGAAAAAAAGGAAGGAAAAAGTGAAATTCGGGCAAGATTTTAATTCATCAGGATAAAAATCCGAAGGTAAAAGTCGTGTTTACATTTTCTCCCGACTCAGGAATCCTTGTTTGATTTTCATAATTGTCTACTGAACCTAAAAACAGGCGGAACTAAGAGCCAACATTCGGTAATTCAACCTTTCACTCCACCAATGACGGCCACGGCAAGCTGGGTCTCTGTAAAGGGGTTCTTGGCTTCCTTCTCAAGTCAGATACGAGGGTTAAGGAACACTAAGATGAAGTTTTAAGGGGGTTCTTGTTATGTTTTTTTTAAAACTTCTGAAGTTAGATGACACCACCTAGAAAACCACACGAATATAGCCAAAACAAGTTAGATATCATAAACTAGATAACAGGAAATGAAACAAGATAACCAGCATTCGAACTGAAACCACACCATGCCAAGCATTTAGAGAAACACTCTTGGGCGTGTATTAGACAGTCTCAAAAAAACAAAACACTGCTAGACCAGAACAGTGTAATACTGAAATAGATAACAATTGGCTTGTTATCTATTTCATTATTATCCGGCTGATATATTGGGACAATTCAACCGGAGACTTCTCAGACTGTACCCAATAGAAAGTCTCCTGTAACGTTTGGGCGCATCTTTGTACCCGTGTGACAAATCTTGCCAGAAAATGATCCCAATGGCATGAAGCATAAGAACCAAGATCGTATACATGGGACTGGAGACACTCATACATAATCTAGGTGTATACAAGATGAGGTGTATGATTCCTTGGCCAGGAGTTGGGCTGTCAGTCAGAAATGTGTGTGTGTTCACTTAGTGTGTTTGTGTGTGTGTGTGTGTGTGTGTTCACTTAGTGTGTTGTGTGTGTGTGTGTGTGTGTGTGTGTGTGTGTGTGTGTGTGTGTGTGTGTGTGTGTGTGTGTGTGTGTGTGTGTGTGTGTGTGTGTGTCATCCCACCACCCATCCTGAGAATGGCACCCAATATCACTCATTTCCCCCCATCCAAGGCTCACGACAGGACTCTGATGTCACACAAAAAAGGCTATATATATATCAAACAAATATTAAAAAAATTCACGAGAAGAACAACAAAACGCAGTGCAATAAAATCAACGATTCCAATTAAAACTTTTCTTGCCGAGCGCTCGGCCAAGTACCGTTTGAAGCATACCAATGGACGCAATTAATTGCTCTGTGTTTCTCTTAACTCTCATTGATTTTTCACCCCCTCCTAATTGCTACTAACAATGAGTTATACCTCACAGTGGGAACAACTGCGCAAGTCGAATTTTGAGAATGGTGGTAGGGAGGCAGGGAGAGGGGGGGGGGGTATTGATGAGAATGGGATGGGGGAGTGGAAGGGAGTAGTTATGAGGAAGGGGGGGGGTGAAGATATGAGAAGGATGAGGAGACACACCATAGTACTGTGTCATTCTTTGCACATCACACAGGAACCTGTGTGAGAGTGGACAACATAGAGAACACAGCACTCCTCCAAACTGATATTAATCAGGTCTTTCAATGGGTCACACGGCATTTAATGGAGATAAGTTGCAGCTCTTGCACTAGGGAGTGCATAATAAATAAGATGAATAATGCGCTATGGAAACATCGAGATTATCAAAGTGGAAACCACATATAAAATGCAGACAAATAACATTACTAAACTACGAAGCAATATAGAAGATGTGCCAATAATTATTTCCGAAGACCTTACCTTTAAAGAACACAATAAAGTAGCCGTCACAACTGCAAGAAAAATGACAGGTTGGATAACAAGAACTTTTCACACTAGAGATGCTATAAGAGTGATGATACTCTTCAAGACACTAGTGCTCTCTAGAGTGGAGTACTGCTGCACAATGACAGCACCTTTCAAAGCTGGAGAAATTGCTGACCTGGAGAGCGTGCAGAGATCCTTTACTGCTCTAATCCACTCAGTAAAACATTTAAACTATTGGGACCGACTAAATTTTGTAAATCTGTATTCCCTAAATCACAGTCAAGATACACGTGGAAAATATTAGAGGGGCTGCGTCCAACAGCCTGGTTGACCAGACTGTTGAAGGCGGCTGCGTCCAGGAGATCTGGTCAGAGACCGGGCCGAGGAGAGAGTGATCCTGGAAACCAAGCCGAGGAGAGAGTGATCCTGGAAACCGGGCCGAGGAGAGAGTGATCCTGGAAACCAAGGTATTATGTAGGGGGATGAGGCGCACCTGTGAGGAGAATGAGGAGAGGGAAGAGAGACAGAAGTACCAAGGATGTGCTGGAGACAGGAATTAGACGGATGGAACTACGCAAGCAGAGGCTCTACACGGGTGCTTCACTTACCGTTCCAAAGGCGAGTCCAGTGGTTGGAACTCGATCCTGCAAAGGCACATGAACATACACACACGCACCCACGCACGCGCACACACACACACACACACACACACACACACACACACACACACACACACACACACACACACACACACACACACGCACACGCACACACACACGCACACGCACACGCACACGCGCACACACACGCGCACACACACGCGCACACGCACGCGCACACGCACGCACACGCACACACACACACACACACACACACACACGCGCGCGCGCGCACACACACACACGCACACACACACACACACACACACGCACACACACACACACACACACACGCACACACACGCGCACACACACACACACACACACACACACACACACACACACACACACACACACACACACACACACACACATGGGTGGAAACTGGAAACTCAGATGAGTCACAGAGATGTTAGGAAGTTTTCTTTTAGCGTGAGAGTAGTAGAAAAATGGAATGCACTTGGGGAACAGGTTGTGGAAGCAAATACTATTCATACTTTTAAAACTAGGTATGATAGGGAAATGGGACAGGAGTCATTGCTGTAAACAACCGATAGCTAGAAAGGCGGGATCCAAGAGTCAATGCTCGATCCTGCAAGCACATATAGGTGAGTACATATAGGTGAGTACACACACAGTTGAATACCCAACAAACGAGCCGAAAATCAATACAATAACATGATAAAAATCAGAAGTGATGCGTGAATTTGAGTCGCTTGGGAGGGGTTGTGGGGTGGGGGTTGTGGGGTGGAGGCTGTGGGGTGGAGGTTGTGGGGTGGGGGTAGTGGGGTGGGGGTAGTGGGGTGGGGTAGTGGGGTGGAGGTTGTGGGGTGGAGGTTGTGGGGTGGGGGTTGTGGGGTGGAGGTTGTGGGGTGGAGGTTGTGGGGTGGGGGTTGTGGGGTGGGGGTTGTGGGGTGGGGGTTGTGGGGTGGAGGTTGTGGGGTGGAGGTTGTGGGGGGTGGGGTAGTGGGGTGGGGGTTGTGGGGTGGAGATTGTGGGGTGGAGATTGTGGGGTGGAGATTGTGGGGTGGAGGTTGTGGGGTGGGGGTTGTGGGGGTGGGGGTTGTGGGGTGGGGGTTGTGGGGTGGAGGTTGTGGGGGTGGGGGTTGTGGGGGGGGGTTGTGGGGTGGGGGTTGTGGGGTGGGGGTTGTGGGGTGGGGGTTGTGGGGTGGGGTTGTGGGGTGGAGGTTGTGGGGTGGAGGTTGTGGGGTGGGGGTTGTTGGGTGGGGTTGTGGGGTGGAGGTTGTGGGGTGGAGGTTGTGGGGTGGAGGTTGTGGGTGGAGGTTGTGGGGTGGGGTTGTCGGGTGGGGGTTGTGGGGTGGAGGTTGTGGGGTGGAGGTTGTGGGGTGGAGGTTGTGGGGGTGGGGGTAGTGGGGTGTGGGTTGTGGGGTGGGTGTTGTGGGGTGGGGTGGTGTTGTGGGGTGGGGATTGTGGGGTGAGGTTGTGGGGTGGAGGTTGTGGGGTGGAGGTTGTGGGGTGGGGTTGTGGGGTGGAGGTTGTGGGGGTGGAGGTTGTGGGGTGGGGATTGTAGGGTGAGGTTGTGGGGGTGGGGGTTGTGGGGTGGGGGTTGTGGGGTGGGGGTTGTGGGGTGGGGGTTGTGGGGTGGGGGTTGTGGGGGTGTGGGTTGTGGGGTGGGGTTGTGGGGCGGGGTTTTGAGGTGGAGTTGTGTACTACAGGTTGGGGTTGAGACCAAGGTGAGGAAGAGTCCATGATAGTTCTGGGGTGTGCTAGAAACACCTTGAGGTTAAGGGAGGGGGTTGGGAGGGGTACAAGAGCAGGGAGGAGGGGGTGGAGGTGAGGTTGTATGTATGGTGGGGAGGAGGCGGCGGCCAGGACGGGAGGGGTTGGGATCTGAGGGAGGGTGAAGAATGCCTACAAATGGCCTTCAGATATCGAGAGAGATGGCATCCCTGGGAACATTAGTGAGAGGTGAAGGATGGCTCCACCGTGACGCCCTCCCTCCACGCCCTCCCTCCACGCCCAGTGACCTCCACGTCCAGTGACCTCCACGCCCAGTGACCTCCACACCCAGTGACCTCCACACCCAGTGACCTCCACGCCCACCCTCCACGCCCAGTGACCTCCACGCCCTCCCTCCACGCCCAGTGACCTCCACACCCAGTGACCTCCACACCCAGTGACCTCCACGCCAACCCTCCACGCCCAGTGACCTCCACACCCAGTGACCTCCACACCCAGTGACCTCCACGCCCAGTGACCTCCACACCCAGTGACCTCCACGCCCACCCTCCACGCCCTCCCTCCACGCCCAGTGACCTCCACGCCCAGTGACCTCCACGCCCACCCTCCACGCCAGTGACCTCCACGCCCAGTGACCTCCACGCCCTCCCTCCACGCACAGTGACCTCCACGCCCAGTGACCTCCACGCCCTCCCTCCACGCCCAGTGGCCTCCACGCCCACCCTCCACGCCCAGTGACCTCCACGCCCTCCCTCCACGCCCAGTGACCTCCACGCCCTCCCTCCACGCCCAGTGACCTCCACGCCCAGTGACCTCCACGCCCAGTGACCTCCACGCCCAGTGACCTCCACACCCACCCTCCACGCCCAGTGACCTCCACGCCCACCCTCCACGCCCAGTGACCTCCACGCCCTCCCTCCACGCCCAGTGACCTCCACGCCCAGTGACCTCCACGCCCATTGACCTCCACGGCCTCCCTCCACGCCCAGTGACCTCCACGCCCAGTGACCTCCACGCCCATTGACCTCCACGGCCTCCCTCCACGCCCAGTGACATCCACGCCCAGTGACCTCCACGCCCTCCCTCCACGCCCAGTGACCTCCACGCCCAGTGACCTCCACGCCCTCCCTCCACGCCCAGTGACCTCCACGCCCAGTGACCTCCACGCCCTCCCTCCACGCCCAGTGACCTCCACACCCAGTGACCTCCACGCCGTGACCTCCACGCCCAGTGACCTCCACGCCCTCCCTCCACACCCAGTGACCTCCACGCCCAGTGACCTCCACGCCCTCCCTCCACGCCCAGTGACCTCCACGCCCAGTGACCTCCACGCCCTCCCTCCACGCCCAGTGACCTCCACGCCCTCCCTCCACGCCCAGTGACCTCCACACCCAGTGACCTCCACGCCCTCCCTCCACGCCCAGTGACCTCCACGCCCAGTGACCTCCACGCCCACCCTCCACGCCCAGTGATCTCCACGCCCACCCTCCACGCCCAGTGACCTCCACGCCCTCCCTCCACGCCCAGTGACCTCCACACCCAGTGACCTCCACGCCCAGTGACCTTCACGCCCTCCCTCCACGCCCAGTGACCTCCACACCCAGTGACCTCCACGCCCTCCCTCCACGCCCAGTGACCTCCACGCCCTCCCTCCACACCCAGTGACCTCCACGCCCAGTGACCTCCACGCCCAGTGACCTCCACGCCCTCCCTCCACGCCCAGTGACCTCCACGCCCAGTGACCTCCACGCCCTCCCTCCACGCCCAGTGACCTCCACGCCCAGTGACCTCCACGCCCAGTGACCTCCACGCCCAGTGACCTCCACACCCAGTGACCTCCACACCCAGTGACCTCCACGCCCTCCCTCCACGTCCAGTGACCTCCACGCCCTCCCTCCACGCCCAGTGACCTCCACGCCCAGTGACCTCCACGCCCACCCTCCACGCCCAGTGATCTCCACGCCCACCCTCCACGCCCAGTGACCTCCACGCCCAGTAGCCTCCACACCCAGTGACCTCCACGCCCAGTGACCTCCACGCCCAGTGACCTCCACGCCCTCCCTCCACGCCCAGTGACCTCCACGCCCAGTGACCTCCACGCCCAGTGACCTCCACGCCCAGTGACCTCCACACCCAGTGACCTCCACGCCCAGTGACCTCCACACCCAGTGACCTCCACGCCCAGTGACCTCCACGCCCTCCCTCCACGCCCAGTGACCTCCACGCCCTCCCTCCACGCCCAGTGACCTCCACGCCCAGTGACCTCCACGCCCTCCCTCCACGCCCAGTGACCTCCACGCCCTCCCTCCACGCCCAGTGACCTCCACGCCCTCCCTCCACGCCCAGTGACCTCCACACCCAGTGACCTCCACGCCCTCCCTCCACGCACAGTGATCTCCACGCCCAGTGACCTCCACACCCAGTGACCTCCACGCCCAGTGACCTCCACGCCCAGTGACCTCCACGCCCTCCCTCCACGCCCAGTGACCTCCACGCCCTCCCTCCACGCCCAGTGACCTCCACGCCCTCCCTCCACGCCCAGTGACCTCCACACCCAGTGACCTCCACGCCCAGTGACCTCCACGCCCAGTGACCTCCACGCCCACCCTCCACGCCCAGTGACCTCCACGCCCTCCCTCCACGCCCAGTGACCTCCACGCCCAGTAACCTCCACGCCCAGTGACCTCCACGCCCACCCTCCACGCCCAGTAACCTCCACGCCCTCCCTCCACGCCCAGTGACCTCCACGCCCTCCCTCCACGCCCAGTGACCTCCACGCCCTCCCTCCACGCCCAGTGACCTCCACGCCCACCCTCAACGCCCAGTGACCTCCACGCCCTCCCTCCACGCCCAGTGACCTCCACGTCCACCCTCCACGCCCAGTAACCTCCACGCCCAGTGACCTCCACGCCCACCCTCCACGCCCAGTGACCTCCACGCCCACCCTCCACGCCCAGTGACCTCCACACCCTCCACGCCCAGTGACCTCCACGCCCACCCTCCACGCCCAGTGACCTCCACGCCCAGTGACCTCCACGCCCACCCTCCACGCCCAGTGACCTCCACGCCCAGTGACCTCCACGCCCACCCTCCGCCACCAACCACCTCAAGCAAGCCACGTCTGCTCCCCGACGACACCAAACTAACAATTCCTTCATGTGCCAATCACCAGGTCAAGAAGGAGCGGTGGCGGCGGGCAGGAAACGAGGCACAAAATGCTGGGCACATATTCCACGCCGGCCGGACGGACGCCGGCTTCAACATCCGGCTCATCAAAAAATTGAGGTAAATGTTGTGTTTAGATTTTTGAGTAGTGGTCAGTTTGGCGGGAATATAAATGTCTCGCCCCCCCCCCCCGGCTCCACCACACCTTCCCCGCCTCCCCCACCCCCCGCCTCCCCCACATTCCTTCCCTCCTGCCCCTCCTCCATCTTTTTAAATCAAATTGTATAACACGGCACTAGCCAGCTCCCCCTCCCCCCTCCTCTCACGAGAAGTGCGTTCTGGCTACTAGGTACATTTTATATATATATATATATATATATATATATATATATATATATATATATATATATATATATATATATATATATGTCGTACCTAGTAGCCAGAACGCACTTCTCAGCCTACTATGCAAGGCCCGAATTGCCTAATAAGCCAAGTTTTCATGAATTAATTGTTTTTCGACTACCTAACCTACCTAACCTAACCCCAACCTATAAAAATAGGTTAGGTTAGGTTAGGTAGGGTTGGTTAGGTTCGGTCATATATCTACATTAATTTTAACTCCAATAAAAAAAATTGCTCTCATACATAATGAAATGGGTAGCTTTATCATTTCATAAGAAAAAAAAATTGAGAAAATATATTAATTCAGGAAAACTTGGCTTATTAGGCAAATCGGGCCTTGCATAGTAGGCAGAGAAGTGCGTTCTGGCTACTAGGTACGACATATATATATATATATATATATATATATATATATATATATATATATATATATATATATATATATATATATAACTGAAAACTCACACCCCAGAAGTGACTCGAACCCATACTCCCAGAAGCAACGCAACTGGTATGTACAAGACGCCTTAATCCACTTGACCATCACGACCGAACAAAATGAGGTGATAGCCGAGGCTATTTGAACCACCCCACCGCCGGCACTCGGATAGTAATCTTGGGCATAGCATTTTACCAAATCACCTCATTCTTTGGGGCACACGTGAGGAACACAAATGCGAACAAGCCATTTGTGTTCAGTTTGTTTTCAGTTGCATATTGTCCTGGGGACCATTCAGGCTTGTTCGCATATATATATATATATATATATATATATATATATATTATATATATATATATATATATATATATATATATATATATATATTAGTATTCATATCACGACTTAAAATGTTTATACTGCGCGGTAGTTACAGCGGGCGCCGCCTCACCTGAGTGGCGCTGCTACCAGTCATCCTCCAGGACTGATATAACAGTGACTCTCTACACCGAACACCTTGACTACACCCACCTCGCTACACCGGACGGCCGGTCCAGGCATTCCAATAAGTAACGCGGCCACCCTCAGTAATCTCTCACAGGTTTTACATACAATTTTGTTACTCTCACACAACAACAATCACACAATTGTTGGTGTACTCACCTAGTTGTGCTTGCGGGGGTTGAGCTCTGGCTCTTTGGTCCCGCCTCTCAACCGTCAATCAACAGGTGTACAGATTCCTGAGCCTATCGGGCTCTATCATATCTACACTTGAAACTGTGTATGGAGTCAGCCTCCACCACATCACTGCCTAATGCATTCCATTTGTCAACCACTCTGACACTAAAAAAGTTCTTTCTAATATCTCTGTGGCTCATTTGGGCACTCAGTTTCCACCTGTGTCCCCTAGTACGTGTGCCCCTTGTGTTAAATAGACTGTCTTTATCTACCCTATCAATCCCCTTCAGAATCTTGAATGTGGTGATCATGTCCCCCCTAACTCTTCTGTCTTCCAGCGAAGTGAGGTTTAATTCCCGTGGTCTCTCCTCGTAGCTCATACCTCTCAGCTCGGGTACTAGTCTGGTGGCAAATCTTTGAACCTTTTCCAGTTTAGTCTTATCCTTGACTGGATATGGACTCCATGCTGGGGCTGCATACTCCAGGATTGGCCTGACATATGTGGTATACAAAGTTCTGAATGATTCTTTACACAAGTTTCTGAATGCCGTTCGTATGTTGGCCAGTGAGTGTGTGTGTGTGTGTGTGTACTCACCTAGTTGTGTTTGCGGGGGTTGAGCTTTGGCTCTTTGGTCCCGCCTCTCAACTGTCAATCAACTGGTGTACAGATTCCTGAGCCTACTGGGCTCTATCATATCTACACTTGAAGCTGTGTATGGAGTCAGCCTCCACCACATCACTTCCTAGTGCATTCCGTTTGTCAACCACTCTGACACTGAAAAAGTTCTCAACCGTCAATCAACAGGTGTACAGGTTCCTGAGCCTATCGGGCTCTATCATATCTACACTTGAAACTGTGTATGGAGTCAGCCTCCACCACATCACTTCCTAATGCATTCCGTTTGTCAACCACTCTGACACTAAAAAAGTTCTTTCTAATATCTCTGTGGCTCATTTGGGCACTCAGTTTCCACCTGTGTCCCCTTGTGCGTGTGCCCCTTGTGTTAAATAGACTGTCTTTATCTACCCTATCAATTCCCTTCAGAATCTTGAATGTGGTGATCATGTCCCCCTTAACTATTCTGTCATCCAGCGAAGTGAGGTTTAATTCCCGTGGTCTCTCCTCGTAGCTCATACCTCTCAGCTCGGGTACTAGTCTGGTGGCAAATCTTTGAACCTTTTCCAGTTTAGTCTTATCCTTGACTGGATATGGACTCCATGCTGGGGCTGCATACTCCAGGATTGGCCTGACATATGTGGTATACAAAGTTCTGAATGATTCTTTACACAAGTTTCTGAATGCCGTTCGTATGTTGGCCAGCCTGGCATATGCCGCTGATGTTATCCGCTTGATATGTGCTGCAGGAGACAGGTCTGGCGTGATATCAACCCCCAAGTCTTTTTCCTTCTCTAACTCCTGAAGAATTTCCTCTCCCAGATGATACCTTGTATCTGGCCTCCTGCTCCCTACACCTATCTTCATTACATTACAGTTGGTTGGGTTAAACTCTAACAACCATTTGTTCGACCATTCCTTCAGCTTGTCTAGGTCTTGAAGCCTCAAACAGTCCTCTTCTGTTTTAATCCTTCTCATAATTTTAGCATCGTCCGCAAACATTGAGAGAAATGAATCGATACCCTCCGGGAGATCATTTACATATATCAGAAACAAGATAGGACCGAGTACAGAGCCCTGTGGGACTCCACTGGTAACTTCACGCCAATCGGAGGTCTCACCCCTCACCGTAACTCTCTGCTTCCTATTGCTTAGGTACTCCCTTATCCACTGGAGCACCTTACCAGCTACACCTGCCTGTCTCTCCAGCTTATGTACCAGCCTCTGATGCGGTACTGTGTCATAGGCTTTCCGACAATCCAAGAAAATGCAGTCCGCCCAGCCCTCTCTTTCTTGCTTAATCTTTGTGTGTGTGTGTGTGTGTACTCACCTAGTTGTACTCACCTAGTTGTGTTTGCGGGGGTTGAGCTCTGGCTCTTTGGTCCCGCCTCTCAACCGTCAATCAACAGGTGTACACATTCCTGAGCCTATCGGGCTCTGTCATATCTACACTTGAAACTGTGTATGGAGTCAGCCTCCACCACATCACTTCCTAATGCATTCCATTTGTCAACCACTCTGACACTAAAAAAAGTTCTTTCTAATATCTCTGTGGCTCATTTGGGCACTCAGTTTCCACCTGTGTCCCCTTGTGCGTGTTCCCCTTGTGTTAAATAGACTGTCTTTATCTACCCTATCAATCCCCTTCAGAATCTTGAATGTGGTTATCTTGAGATTTTCTTGAGGTTATCTTGAGATGATTTCGGGGCTTTAGTGTCCCCGCGGCCCGGTCCTCGACGAGGCCTCCACCCCCAGGAAGCAGCCCGTGACAGCTGACTAACACCCAGGTACCTATTTTACTGCTAGGTAACAGAGGCATAGGGTGAAAGAAACTCTGCCCATTGTTTCTCGCCGGCGCCTGGGATCGAACCCAGAACCACAGGATCACAAGTCCCGCGTGCTGTCCGTGGTGATCATGTCCCCCCTAACTCTTCTGTCTTCCAGCGAAGTGAGGTTTAATTCCCGTAGTCTCTCCTCGTAGCTCATACCTCTCAGCTGTGTGTGTGTGTGTGTGTGTGTGTGTGTGTGTGTGTGTGTGTGTGTGTGTGTGTGTGTGTGTGTGTACGTACTCACCTATTTGTACTCACCTATTTGTGCTTGCGGGGGTTGAGCTTTGGCTCTTTGGTCCCGCCTCTCAACTGTCAATCAACTGGTGTACAGATTCCCGAGCCTACTGGGCTCTATCATATCTACACTTGAAACTGTGTATGGAGTCAGCCTCCACCACATCACTGCTTAATGCATTCCATCCGTTAACTACTCTGACACTGAAAAGTTTGAGGGGGCAACAAAAGCTTGAGGGGGCAACAAAAGCTTGAGAGGGGGCAACAAAAGCTTGAGAGGGAGCAACAAAAGCTTGAGGGGGCAACAAAAGCTTGAGAGGGGCAACAAAAGCTTGAGGGGGGCAACAAAAGCTTGAGGGGGCAACAAAAGCTTGAGGGGGGCAACAAAAGCTTGAGGGGGGGCAACAAAAGCTTGAGTGGGAGCAACAAAAGCTTGAGGGGGGCAACAAAAGCTTGAGGGGGCAACAAAAGCTTGAGGGGGCAACAAAAGCTTGAGTGGGAGCAACAAAAGCTTGAGTGGAGCAACAAAAGCTTGAGTGGGAGCAACAAAAGCTTGAGGGGGCAACAAAAGCTTGAGGGGGCAACAAAAGCTTGAGGGGGGCAACAAAAGCTTGAGGGGGGCAACAAAAGCTTGAGGGGGGCAACAAAAGCTTGAGGGGGCAACAAAAGCTTGAGGGGGGGGGCAACAAAAGCTTGAGGGGGGGGCAACAAAAGCTTGAGGGGGGGGCAACAAAAGCTTGAGGGAGCAACAAAAGCTTGAGGGGGGGCAACAAAAGCTTGAGGGAGCAACAAAAGCTTGAGGGGGGGCAACAAAAGCTTGAGGGGGGCAACAAAAGCTTAAGGGGGGCAACAAAAGCTTGAGGGGGGCAACAAAAGCTTGAGGGGGGGGCAACAAAAGCTTGAGGGGGGGCAACAAAAGCTTGAGGGGGGGCAACAAAAGCTTGAGGGGGGGGGCAACAAAAGCTTGAGGGGGGGGGCAACAAAAGCTTGAGGGGGGGCAACAAAAGCTTGAGGGGGGGGCAACAAAAGCTTGAGGGGGGGCAACAAAAGCTTGAGGGGGGGCAACAAAAGCTTGAGGGGGGGCAACAAAAGCTTGAGGGGGGGCAACAAAAGCTTGAGGGGGGCAACAAAAGCTTAAGGGGGGCAACAAAAGCTTGAGGGGGCAACAAAAGCTTGAGGGGGGGCAACAAAAGCTTGAGGGGGGGCAACAAAAGCTTAAGGGGGGCAACAAAAGCTTGAGGGGGCAACAAAAGCTTAAGGGGGGGCAACAAAAGCTTGAGGGGGGCAATAAAAGCTTGAGGGGGGGCAACAAAAGCTTGAGGGGGGGCAACAAAAGCTTGAGGGGGGGCAACAAAAGCTTAAGGGGGGCAACGAAAGCTTGAGGGGGGGCAACGAAAGCTTGAGGGGGGGGCAACAAAAGCTTGAGGGAGCAACAAAAGCTTAAGGGGGGCAACAAAAGCTTGAGGGGGGGCAACAAAAGCTTGAGGGGGGCAACAAAAGCTTGAGGGGGGCAACAAAAGCTTGAGGGGGGGCAACAAAAGCTTGAGGGAGCAACAAAAGCTTAAGGGGGGCAACAAAAGCTTGAGGGGGGGCAACAAAAGCTTGAGGGGGGGCAACAAAAGCTTGAGGGGGGGCAACAAAAGCTTGAGGGGGGGCAACAAAAGCTTGAGGGGGGGCAACAAAAGCTTAAGGGGGGCAACAAAAGCTTGAGGGGCGGCAACAAAAGCTTGAGGGGGGGCAACAAAAGCTTAAGGGGGGCAACAAAAGCTTGAGGGGGGCAACAAAAGCTTGAGGGGGGCAACAAAAGTTTGAGGGAGCAACAAAAGCTTAAGGGGGGCAACAAAAGCTTGAGGGGGGGCAACAAAAGCTTGAGGGGGGCAACAAAAGCTTGAGGGGGGCAACAAAAGCTTGAGGGGGGGCAACAAAAGCTTGAGGGGGGCAACAAAAGCTTGAGGGAGCAACAAAAGCTTAAGGGGGGCAACAAAAGCTTGAGGGGGGGCAACAAAAGCTTGAGGGGGGGCAACAAAAGCTTGAGGGGGGGCAACAAAAGCTTGAGGGGGGGCAACAAAAGCTTGAGGGGGGGGCAACAAAAGCTTGAGGGGGGGCAACAAAAGCTTGAGGGGGGCAACAAAAGCTTGAGGGGGCAACAAAAGCTTGAGGGGGGCAACAAAAGCTTGAGGGGGGCAACAAAAGCTTAAGGGGGGCAACAAAAGCTTGAGGGGGGGCAACAAAAGCTTGAGGGGGGGGCAACAAAAGCTTGAGGGGGGGCAACAAAAGCTTGAGGGGGGGGCAACAAAAGCTTGAGGGGGGGCAACAAAAGCTTAAGGGGGGCAACAAAGCTTGAGGGGGGGCAACAAAAGCTTGAGGGGGGGCAACAAAAGCTTGAGGGGGGGGCAACAAAAGCTTGAGGGGGGGCAACAAAAGCTTGAGGGGGGCAACAAAAGCTTGAGGGGGGGGCAACAAAAGCTTGAGGGGGGGGCAACAAAAGCTTGAGGGGGGGGGCAACAAAAGCTTGAGGGGGGGCAACAAAAGCTTGAGGGGGGGGCAACAAAAGCTTGAGGGGGGCAACAAAAGCTTGAGGGGGGGGGCAACAAAGCTTGAGGGGGGGCAACAAAAGCTTGAGGGGGGGGGCAACAAAAGCTTGAGGGGGGGCAACAAAAGCTTGAGGGGGGGGGGGCAAACAAAGCTTGAGGGGGGGCAACAAAAGCTTGATGGGAGGCAACAAAAGCTTGAGGGGGGCAACAAAAGCTTGAGGGGGGGGGCAACAAAACAGTGACTGTGGCAGCTCCCAGTACACGCTGTACACAATCTAAGAGTCGCTGTATATGCAAATTTATTCAGATAACGGTAAATTAATATTTCGTGTTTGTTGGAATTAACAGCACTAAATGCTGCCCCCTGACAGTAACTTGGGGAACTGCGCCCCCCCCCCCCTAACTACATCCATGTTATCACCCGGGATATTATGGATAGGGGCTGGATGATGGTGGATTATCATCACTATTGTGATGATCCAGTGATGAAGCAACTATCACATCAAGTAGCAGTTAACCACTTTGATGAGAGTAGACAAAATAGTGTGTGTACTCACCTAGTTGTGCTTGCGGGGGTTGAGCTTTGGTTGTTTGGTCCCGCCTCTCAACTCTCAATCAATCAACTGTTACTAACTACTACCTTTTTTTCACACACACACACACACACCCACACACACACACACACACACACACACACACACACACACACACACACACACACACACACACACACACACAGGAAAGTCCTATGTTGGTTTCCTTAGTGCAGACTGCAGTGTGGAAGCCACCATTGCTCTCCGTGACTGTTACATCTAGAAAGGGCAGCTTCCCATCCTTCTCCATCTCGTAACTGAAACTTAACACCAAATTTTGCTGGAATGCCTCCTTCAGCTGCTGCAGACGTCTGACATCAGGTACCTGTGTAAAAATGTCGTCAACGTACCTGCGGTATATGGTGGGTTTTAAGCTGCTTAAGGTTTGTTTGTTTATATTTATATATATATATATATATATATATATATATATATATATATATATATATATATATATATATATATATATATATATATATATATATATGGTAGGGTTGGTTCTCATTAATTCCGCGTTCACTTACAAAAAATCCAAATCTCCTCGCTTGGCTTTCATGGTTTAAAATTACAACCTGGATCATGAATATCGAGACACTAGCTCCACAAAAGCTATTGCAACGTAACAAAAGCCAACAAAAGCCTCCGGGGGGGCGAGGGAGAGGCCGGCATCCCTCCTCCTAACCCCCCACCACCCTCACAGACATCCTCCATCACCATTAAGACGGAGGTTTCATTTTCCTGGTTTCTGGAAGCTTCCTGTTCATTAACTGACAGTCAATAGGACATGACATCACAACACTCCCTGGCCCGCCAAAATAAGGGCAAACAGAGCTTGGATTCTTATTGGCTAGTGACACTAAAAGTCCAATTCTCATTGGCTAGAAAACTGGGGTGAGTACTATGGGGGGGGGGTACTCTAGGAGTAGGGCTACTGGCAACGCTCACTTTCGACTGGTCAATCATTTGTAACTTGTGATTTGATTGGCTATTTTTTATTTTGATTGGCTCACATACGTCAATTGTGGAGCGGAAGAAGGGGGGAAATGGAATGAAGGGAGAAAGGGGAAGAGAGAAAGGGAAAGGGAGAAATAGGGAAGGGAGGGAACTATCAGGGGGGGAAAGCGCCAAGCCATTAACGACTACATAATGCCAATGAAGAATCGAGCCAAATAACCTCCCGTGGAGGTCAGAAACACAGGTCATAAACGGGACAGTTTCCACCGCGTCGTTCGCCCGTCGTCGCCACCAATCAGCGTCGTCATTAGTAGGGTTTGACTGGGATATCTGTTGCTTCAAGAGGGATCATTTTCATTGGATACTCGCATGCGTAGATCAATTCTGATTGGATCAAAGCCTGAGAATTTGCTCTCTGGGAAAGCCTCTATATTGGTCTGATGCCCCTTGTGTACCAGCAAGAGACTTTGCGTTCTTATTGGCTGCCGGCTGCTGTATTCTTATTGGCTAATTAACTGTTGTATATTTACAGGCTCGTGGGGTGCCGTGTTGCCATTGGCTAGTGACTCCCCCGACGCCATGGTAAAGTTCTGATCTTCAGTGGCAACAGGAAGGATGATTTTGTCAGTTATTTCTAATTTTGTTTGAGAACATTATCGCTGGTGAGAGGCTGTCATGTGCGTTAGTGGCCGCCCCCGGCAACGGTGCCATGCTGTCAGCCGCCCCCGGCAACGGTGCCATGCTGTCAGCCGCCCCTGTCAACGTTGTCATGCTGTCAGCCGCCCCTGTCAACGTTGTCATGCTGTCAGCCGCCCCTGTCAACGTTGTCATGCTGTCAGCCGCCCCTGTCAACGTTGTCATGCTGTCAGCCGCCCCTGTCAACGTTGTCATGCTGTCAGCCGCCCCCGGCAACGGTGCCATGCTGTCAGCCGCCCCTGTCAACGTTGTCATGCTGTCAGCCGCCCCTGTCAACGTTGTCATGCTGTCAGCCGCCCCTGTCAACGTTGTCATGCTGTCAGCCGCCCCTGTCAACGTTGTCATGATGTCAGCCGCCCCTGTCAACGTTGTCATGCTGTCAGCCGCCCCTGTCAACGTTGTCATGCTGTCAGCCGCCCCTGTCAACGTTGTCATGCTGTCAGCCGCCCCTGTCAACGTTGTCATGCTGTCAGCCGCCCCCGGCAACGGTGCCATGCTGTCAGCCGCCCCCGTCAACGTTGTCATGCTGTCAGCCGCCCCTGTCAACGTTGTCATGCTGTCAGCCGCCCCTGTCAACGTTGTCATGCTGTCAGCCGCCCCTGTCAACGTTGTCATGCTGTCAGCCGCCCCTGTCAACGTTGTCATGCTGTCAGCCGCCCCTGTCAACGTTGTCATGCTGTCAGCCGCCCCTGTCAACGTTGTCATGCTGTCAGCCGCCCCTGTCAACGTTGTCATGCTGTCAGCCGCCCCTGTCAACGTTGTCATGCTGTCAGCCGCCCCTGTCAACGTTGTCATGCTGTCAGCCGCCCCTGTCAACGTTGTCATGCTGTCAGCCGCCCCTGTCAACGTTGTCATGCTGTCAGCCGCCCCTGTCAACGTTGTCATGCTGTCAGCCGCCCCCGGCAAAGACCAGTTGTTGCCATACTTTCAGCAGTCCCCCCCCCCCCCCACCGTCTAGACAAGGGGGGTATAGGATAGTGAATGAACAAACTGCTGAATGAAACAGAAGATCATGAACAATAAATGGAACACAAAACGCTAGTGTTCATCACTAACACTTGGTGGAACACTGTTCACATCTCCCCATCATCTTGCAAGACGAGACTGCAGAGATGGAAGATGTAAGAGAGCCACAACTGGCCGCGAAGAACCAGCCAAGAACTCCTGGGACCGCCTCAAGACACTTGCAAGATGTCCCTGTGCAACCTTGCAACAAATACAAGCTAGCAATTTCCATCTCATAACACCCACATGCATAACATCTGCCTCCCAGGCGGCTCAGTGCAAATAAAACAGCCTACTAGAGATGTAGTTGACAGTGCGAAATATGGACAGTGCAAAATCTGGACAGTGCAAAATGTGGACAGTGCAAAATGTGGACAGTGCAAAATGTGGACAGTGCAAAATGTGGACAGTGCAAAATCTGGGCAGTGCAAAATCTGGACAGTGCAAAATCTGGGCAGTGCAAAATCTGGACAGTGCAAAATCTGGGCAGTGCAAAATCTGGGCAGTGCAAAATCTGGACAGTGCAAAATCTGGGCAGTGCAAAATCTGGACAGTGCAAAATCTGGACAGTGCAAAATCTGGACAGTGCAAAATCTGGGCAGTGCAAAATCTGGACAGTGCAAAATCTGGACAGTGCAAAATCTGGACAGTGCAAAATCTGGACAGTGCAAAATCTGGGCAGTGCAAAATCTGGACAGTGCAAAATCTGGACAGTGCAAAATCTGGACAGTGCAAAATCTGGACAGTGCAAAATCTGGACAGTGCAAAATCTGGGCAGTGCAAAATCTGGACAGTGCAAAATCTGGGCAGTGCAAAATCTGGACAGTGCAAAATCTGGGCAGTGCAAAATCTGGACAGTGCAAAATGTGGACAGTGCAAAATGTGGACAGTGCAAAATCTGGACAGTGCAAAATCTGGGCAGTGCAAAATCTGAGCTTTAGCGCTACCATGAC